ATGCCTCGAAACCACGCAGCCATAGCCGCGTTGAAAGAACGTAGATGTCGAATGAGGTTGGGAATGTAGAGCTGCTGAGCCAAAGCCAATCTATACCCTCCGTCATCATCCTTGAAACTGCTTTCCAGACAGGGTGCCTGGCCAACGTCGATCGGATCGACGTTTTCTTTGGAGTCGGAATGCATCTTCCTGAAAGACGGGGAAGCAATAGCGCTAAAATAGACCAGATATGTAAAACGGATGTGTACGCAAAACACAAATCCTGGAACAAGACCATAGTCCAGAAGCTAACGAATAATCAGGTCTTTCCACCGGAGTTTACAGCCGGTAAACGCGAAGGAGCAGCAGAGGAGGAAGAAGGAGAAGGAGGAGGAGGGAGGAGAAAAAGAAATGTGACTAGAAAACTAACATCAAAGGATTAACCGACGTTTGCTTCCACTGCAGGATGTCAAGAATGTTAGAGTTTGCAGTCCTTGGTATCGACTTGTAACGTGAAGATGACGCCTAATCATATTACCATCGGTAGTCTTTCTTCTTCTTCTTTTTCTTGATGTTCATTGCTGCAGATATCACCCGCCTCCATTCATCTCTCTGGTTGGCCTTCTCTTTCCAGTTGGTGACATCAAGTGTTTGCAGGTCTGTCTGGATATTATCTCTCCGTCGTCTTCTTGGTCTGCCTCGTGGTCTACGACCATTCATCTCCATCGTGTATGCAGTTTTTACTTCTCTCTCATCTGACATTCTTTCAATATGCCCAACCATTTCAGTCTATAAGCTGTCATGATGCCAGTTATCAGTGGTGATTTGAACAGATAATGAATTTCGTTGTTGCTTGTCACTATCCATTCACCGCTGTTTGCATCTTTGATAGGTCCAACTTTCGTCGTAAGAATGTTTTCGAAAACCTGTAATAAGGCTTCATCTCTTTTAGTTGTTCTCCAAGTTTCAGATCAATATAAAACAACTGGTCTTATCAACGTTTGATATATTTTGATCTTGGTGTTGCGAGACAAACATAGGCAGTGTTTGAGTGCATAAATATAATGTTTTGTACTTGACACGTTTGTTCGTGCGGACGTTTATTGTACCGAATGTCCGCACAAGCGACAACCAGTGTTGCCACTTTTCTTTGACAAAAAATATCCAAAACGGTGTCAAAAAATATCTAAAAAGATCTAAATCTGCGTGGAAAAGATCTAGAAAAAATATCCAAAGTGAAAAAGTCAAAAATTACATAGCTTTTGTTATGACTTACCCTACATAATCATGTCCTCACCTTCACTGATGTCTGCCTCACAAGATCAACAGGATAAACTTATACCAACCATCACTGAGGCATTATCAGTACCAATTACAGCCAAATTCTTCAAGCCTAACTGTTTGCTGATTAAAAGGTCCTTCAGTTCCTAAACTATACTTTCTACATCACACTTTTCAAATTAAACTAATCCAAGATTTTTTACAAATCGATCAAATGGTCACAGTTTGAAATTGAGCAGTGACAAATTAGAAACATTCCGACTGATACTTCAACTTTTGATGATTCATTTATCAGTATAGTTCTGAAAACAGATGTCAGCGGTGTAATATCTTTAAAAGAAACTGCAGTTTTATGCTTTTTTTAGTCTCTGCATGACTCTTTGAGTTTTGTATTGTCGCTTTAATTTCACACTTGCAGTACTTACAACAAGCTTGGGTTATATACCCAGTTTTAAATTTTGTCATCATGCAACCACTCTTTCCAAATTTTTTGCTCATACTTTACTTTTGGCATGTTGAAAGGTTTTTTCAAAGTGAAAGCCACATAAGAAATTGAGCAATTATTTTTTTTTAAATCACATGAAAAAGAAACGCAAATCAGCACAGTGAGGAAACGGTTGAAACAAAGTTAGTATGATTTACGCGCGTTTTTATTAATCAGTACCGAGGCTGCCAGATATTTATTTTACACAGTAATTATTAAATTGACAATGAAAGAAAAAAAAAATCTATAAAATATCTAACTCCATATGAAAAAAGTCTAGAAAAATATTTACGATCTAAACGTCAAAAACAGTATCTAAATGCAATGAAAAAGATCTAAATTTGGATATAAAAGATCCAAAGTGGCAACACTGGCGGCAACCGATTCGAGGCTGCAGTGCTATTAGCAGGGGCCTTGTGACTATACCATCATTGTTGTTTGTGTGTGTTTGGGTGGTGGGGGGATCCATGAACAAGCATTGTTCGAATGCACAATAATAGTAAATATTATTACGCTGGAGAGCGAATGTGTTTGAAACAATATCTTCTTCTTCTTCTTCTTCTTCTTCTTCTTCTTCTTCTTCTTCTTCTTCTTCTTCTTCTTCTTCTTCTTCTTCTTCTTCTTCTTCTTTTTCTTCTTCTTCTTCTTCTTCTTCTTCTTCTTCTTCTTCTTCTTCTTCTTCTTCTTCTTCTTCAGCATTCGGAGCCCTTGATGTTCATTGCTGCAGTTATCACTCGAATCCATTTATCTCTCTGGTTGGCCTTCTCTTTCCATTTGGTGACATCAAGTGTTTGCAGGTCTATCTGGACATTATCTGGAAACAATATGAAATGGATAAATTACTGTATTTAAATGGTCAAATCATTTTTCCAACCAAGTTTCACTTTTCTCTAGTGAATTCTAGGTCTGCTACTACCTTCATGTTCTTTTGTCGTTGCCACAGTCCTTACTGTTAAACCTCCCAGTTCCGCGGGCTGAACCAGTACGTCGCAAACTGAGGACTTGATTCTGGGTCAGTGAGAGGATGTTCTGTTGTCAGTGTTGATGAGAACAGTAGGTGGGCTTTTAGATTGGCGAAATTCTAAGACATATATTAGGAAATTGTATGGGGGAAAAGGCGGCCGGTTTTGGTTTAATCACATCAGGGATCAAAAGGACATTGGAATAGAACAACCGGAGAATCCAAATCCAATGTAGGCGTAATTATTTGTTTGTTTACTCAATGGATCAACATAATGGCACACGGGTGTAACTCACAAATGCTCCGTTCTTCTTCTAACTCAAGCCTGAGTCTAAAGAATCTCAGCGCAGTACACTGAATGCACACAAAAACATTAGACTATATATTACTTTACTTAAATGCAGAGTCCTCATACCTCCGCTCTATCCCAGTGACTAAACGGTTGCCTGCCAGCCCGAAAGTTATAGGTTCGAAAAAGTATCTAAGCGGATTTTGGCTTAGGTGTTGCGAACGCGCTTCGTAATCCCGGGATGCCGGGTTCAGTTCCAGGCGATTTTACGCATTGCTTTGGTTTTGACAATGGTATCCAGAGCCAACTGTTTAGTAAGCAGTGGCAAACTACTGAGCGTAAAATGTAGCATAGAAAAACCACATAGTCATCAATTCTCTTTACGTTTAGTGGCACATGAGGCTTCAGAGAGGACTTGTCATGCTTTCCTGTCCTGTGCAATCTTCAGTGCAATTTTCCATGTCAGAGATGCCGCACTCAGGAAAACTGCTGGAACTGGTTCTGCAACGTCCTGTAAAGGATACGCAACTACTTGTTTTTTTAAACCTTGACAGTCAGGTCGATCCCAATTTATGTACCAGTTCCTGTCATGGGAAGTAAAAGCGGCTGACGTGATTTTGACCACATTATCTGTCCAGTACCGGTTGCTCTATTGTAATATATATCTTGCACCATAAAGTCAATGAGCCAGTGGCGTAAATAAGTATGCTTTACTTTACTTCTATCACTGACATGTACACCACTGACATATGTGGAATATATGTGTTCTCATTTGGCTTCCTGCGACAAATTAGAGATGTCCCTAGTCACTGTAATCCACAGCTTAAAAGCAGAAGAGGACGGGGGAGTGGAGGAGGAGAAAGACGCGGATAAATAAGGAAAAGAACAAGAAGGATGAGTGAAGAAATGGAAGAAGAAGAAGAAGAAGAAGAAGAAGAAGAAGAAGAAGAAGAAGAAGAAGAAGAAGAAGAAGAAGAAGAAGAAGAAGACAAAGAAGAAGAAAAAGAAGAAGAAGAAGACGAAGGAAAAGGAGGAGGAGAACAGTGTGTTTTCATATATGGCACGGAATATTTCATGTATTTTCTTTTCACAACATCCACAGATGATCCTGTCTGCTCGGTAAAGCTGTCCTAGAATGTCATTGAGTGTAGTGACACCAGAAGGTCAGACCATTTAATACGGAAGCGACCGTCAATACCTGCATCCTGTACTAATATATTATCTTATAGTTTACCAGTAACGGTCGCATGAAACACTCCGACCAGCTGTGATGTGCCTCTAGTCTGGGTAAGGCTGATAGATGTTGCTTCTTCACTTGAGGAAAGGATTGGCATAACAAGCCAAGAATAACTGTAAGGTCAGCAATTATTCCCATAGGTGTTCAACAGACATCTGTGGGTACAAAGGTTCTCATTAATGCTGGATACCAACACAACTTACCTAAACCACAAAATGGGTGGGCGCCATTTATACAGTTAGGGTGTTCTTATGTGATTCAGAAAAGAGGGAGGATAATATTCTACCCGCGACAACATCTTGACTTACCTACATCTTGGAGAAATCTATATGAGAGATATGTTTGTTCTGTATAGTTTTTAGTGCGACAGGCTTCACACTAGCAGAGCCCGAATGCTACTTTTACCGAATATAATTCTGTGTTTGAGCCAACGTCTGTGATAATCGTCATCACTTTGGATTTCCAACTGGTTCTGAATTGGTTACTAATATCGTCTGCAAGAATTGAACGAGCCTACATATATGACGAAATTTCTGAATATATCACAGAATAATAACCGAAGCATCAGCGCTTGCCAAGATGTGCTTACACCTGGCCTGCAAAAGCTATATGATCCTTTATGTGTGGGGAAATTTGTGAATGTGTTCACGGAGAATAAGTGAAACATCAATGTTGTTTGCTGATAATTACCGTTCCACCACGAAACCAGCAAATACCTGGCAAAGTACATCGTAGACGACCCCAACAAAGCCAGTAACCGTCCTTGCACATGTCAGATCTGACGCCATCACGCCAGTCTTCAGACAGAACGGGCACATTTCTCCCTGACGATAACTCGCAGATTGTTTCCTCAAGCACGGCATATTTTGAGGAGGTTTTTGATTCGAGGGGTAGTGCAAAAATTAGCCTTTCTATGCATTCACGCTCGGGAGAAAGTGCTTCAACATGGCGAAACATACGACAAGGTACGGATTACCCCGATCTGCAGAAAGAGGGTCATGAATCTCTAGAGTCATTTAATGTCACAGAGGCTGACGTTACTTCCGGGATTCCCATGCTACATCCTGGATTAAAATATCATCAGCCTGCAGCAAACATTCCTCTCCGTCCAAGAATCCACGATAAAAGTAGTCAGATATCTGTACCTCTATACACACAGGGTTTAGCCTCAACACGAACTGGTGCTGAAACTACAGCCAGACAGCCTGAACAACTAATGGACATTCAGCAAATACCACAACGCTGGTCTGTCTGGGTTAAGACAGAGCGTGAATCGCCAGCGGTTACGGCTACTGGGCTGTATGATAGATCGTTATGTCCGCAAACTGCAGACTGCATCGGTTCTAGGGTCTTGGCTGGTCGGTCGAACGACTTTGTTGCTCCGAGTTCGCCAGAAGTTCAAATGGAGAATCCGTTACCCACAAGTGAACACCCAGCTCCGTGGTTGTCGTTTACACCTGACGATCTTTCACCGACAGTTCACATTGTTCAGAAACTTTCACAGACAACTGTCCATGATAGTCCCGCTTGCAGTTCACCGGGAATCTTGTCTCCAAGAATCCCCAAATCAGCCGCCCTTCAAGTTAAAAATCCAGAACAATCACCATCGCTGAGCCCAGCCAGTGCCCATAATCATAAACAGCTGTTTGTGTTCCCAGATTTAAGCCAGGCCGTTTCGAATTCCAAACAGCCAGTATCTGAAGGCGCCACAGAATGTGTAGTAGTTACCGATGTCTCATCTGAACGTCAGAGGTGGCGCCACGTATCTTCGGGAAGCAGTGGGGATTCGTCCAATGCAGGGGATGCACTTGTTGTGTCTCGGTCTTTAGCAAGTGTAATCTCTAATGTACACCCAGCATCCGGAGGCCAAAGACATAGGTTATTTAGCGGTGGTACGGATATCGATGAGACGCTTGTTGATTCAGAGACGGAGTATAGTGTTGTTGAAGATAGCGACAGCAGTAGGGAACAGAGTCCGTTTTGTGGTATTTCTGAGATTATACTGACGCATTCTTCAGGTAGTAGAACTGTTTCATCTGGAGAACATAGATGCTCGCCGGTTGGGAGACAAGACTTACAACAGCAGCAAGAAGCCGAAGATGAAGGAGATATAATTTACGTAGCAGAAAGTCGACAGAATATAGAAGACGTAAAACGGCAACCACCAAAGTTCAAGCGACGTCTTCACGAGCGTTATGTTTCTAGTCTCAAAGACGTCGCTCTAGGGCGTACAGATAAAGACACTACAGAAACAACCCTTATAACACCGTTATCCCATAGCTGCACTGTCGACGTTAAGCCTGTTCTCAAGCTAGAAAGCATTACTTATGAACATGATTTTCCCGAGAGCCCCGTGCCAAAGAGCCCTAGAAGGTCGCTAGATGAAGGGTATAGAAAAGACTCCTATGACTTTAGTGCTGATGAAGGTGATGTCTTTATGGAGTCAGTCACATCGTTAAACACCAGAGTCAGGCGAGGAAGTTCCCAGAAACCTCTAGACCTGTCTAGAAGTACGTTCGGAATGTCACCCTTTGGAACGTATCGGTCCCCGTGCTTGTCGGAGTCGGACCCAACTACCAGTTCTCCTAGTTCCAGGTCTCATTATTCGCCTCTCTTTCGTTCAACCCATCGCCTCAGTTATTCCCCTCACGGTCTCAACTCCCCTAAGTCACAGTCTCCCCTATGTTCAGTCCCAGAAGGAGGAAGAATATTCAGCTTTAATCTTACGAGTCCTTACGAGGCAGCAGGAGCCCACTCAGACACTGACATTATTTCTCCTAGTCCCATGTCGCCCCGTTTCTTCACATTCCCATCGATTGCCCAGCCCCACTCTGCCACGCCATTGCTAAACCCACTATCAGAAGTCAACAGGCTAGCAGTATCACCCAGGGCTCTGTACCCAACATCCCCAGTTCAGTTCTCTTTGCGGACCAAAACTGTTGCCCACATCAAGTGGGAGAACGTCTCCAAAAGGTCCTTCTCCGACTCGGACGTAGCCTACCAGTGTCTAATCTGCGGACAGGTGTTTCCTTCCAACGACAATTTAGCCAAACACATGGCCAAGCATTTGCCTACCGAAACCATACGCTCCGCCGACAATAACAAAATCCACTACTGCAAAGTATGCGACCGATCATTCTCTCGATCGGATATGCTAACCCGACACATGCGCCTGCACACGGGTCTCAAACCGTACGAGTGTTTAGACTGCGGCCAGGTGTTTAGTCGGTCAGATCATCTGAATACACACAAGCGAACACACACGGGTGAGAAGCCCTACAGATGTCCGCAGTGCCCTTACGCTGCCTGTCGGAGAGACATGATCACTCGTCATATGCGTACGCACGTCAAACGTACTTCTAAACGAGGTCGGTATCTATCAGTAACCGACGCCAGCGATGATATTCGCAAGAGCTCCACGTCCAGCGCGGAAACGACCGAATCACACGAACATTCCGGAGGACGGACATGCTCATCGATGTCTAGCACTGACAGCTTAGATCTGGATATAGACCATCGACGTGTTATCAAAGACAGTGTGGAATCTCTGCTCTCCGTGGATGACCCGAGCACACATCCACGAACCTCAACTAGCAGCAAGGATTCAGAAGACCCTGATGATTACACAACCGCCTTTTCGCCGGTTCAGTGGACACAAGTCGCCAAATTCAGCCAGAGCCAATCTTCTCCATACCAGGATAAATGGCACTTGTTAACGAAGCAGCAGATCAGCACCAGAACCTGCGCAGACAAGGAAGCTGCTTCCGAACAACGACACAGGGTTGAAAGTTCTAGTGTACTTCACAGAGGTTATGCATATCCTGGAGATGCAGGACACAGTCAGTTTCCTCATCGCCAACGCCAGGATGAGTCACAGTCGACTTCGTACTCACAGTTCAAGGGCAGCAGTTGAGTCAGTAGCCAAAAATAACAAAGAAGCACCATGTTGCGGAGACCGGTTTATGTTGTCATTGCCTTATGTTCGTATGTGTAACTATACTCTTTTTTTTTTTTTACACTGATAATAAATCGTTTTTCAAACTTGTGTGGCTTTGAGGTCGATTCAGCATCATGAAAACGGTTGCTGAATTATAGGCTATTTTATAATATATCATTAGGTCTAGACCAAGGCCGTTCTACGCGCTAAATTCTTGTTTCAAGAAAGTCTCATTTTGCTCTGAATTGGCAGATGAGAATTATTATAAATTTTTTTTTCTTTTTTGAGTGAAAAAGAATACTTCATTTTGTTCTATCTGGAGTGGGAATTCACATTTGTGCCTTAGGCATATTGTAAAGTGATCTATAACAGCCCTGAAAATCCCCCCCCCCCCCCACCCAAAAAAAAAATCGACTTTTTTTTGGTTGCGGTGTAAACGGAATTGGCGGGGGGGGGGGGGGGGGGGGGGCTCTAAATTTGGGGCCGCATGGCTAGTGCTGTCACCAGAGACTGTGCAGGTTAGGTTTTTTTCCCCTTTGAGAGACATACTTCGACCTCCCCCAATCACGAGAGCTGTGGCCATTTTTTTTTATCTTCCTGTCATTCCTGCCTCAGAGTGTTAGCAGAACATCTCTAAGTCGGGGTTTTTGCGAACAAGTTATGGAAAGGAATGGACCCGAAAACTTGGCGTCCACTGGGGGCAAGATTGATGTTACAGAAGAAAAACAGGGGGGGGGGGGGAGCAAAGGGATAAATAACTGGATGGTTACAGCTATAATTACCTCTACTTTTTTAGGGCTTCATGTTATTTTGTGATAGACAGGGCGCTCCCAAAATTTAAGCTCGGGAACAAGACTAGAATCCAGAAATAGACCAAAACCAAAACTTGTCGCAAAGTTAACAGCCAGTGAACGATAATGCCTCCGCCTCCCACCTGTGAGAAATGTCACCTAAGACTACCCGTAACGGTTTCGCCATCTACCATCTTGATGTCCAAAACTGCTAATTGCTATTGATGTGTTTTTCTTATTTACCTTTGATCTATAATAATAATGTATTTCTAGATCATGTTTACTTGATTCAAACTAAATACAGTATGCATGTTTCTGTTAAAATCCTCTTTTAACAGTTTCTGGAGTATTGCGAGGTAATTGGCCCTTATTATATTTCTAGCAGAAATCGTTGAAATCATTACTGACCGAGAGGTCACAATGTCGGGCTCTGTGGGAGACCCGGGTTCGATCCCCCGGTAAAAGAATGCCGTTTTTCTGTCAGGAACAAAATCAGACATCCTAACCTGTACAGTCCAGGGTGACAGCACTAGTCGTGCGGCACTCATATCCTCAGGCTGACGACTCCCTGGTCTATACCGCCATAAAAAGTGATACATACGAACAGTGTTGACATTGGCAGTTTACATCGTTATATAAATTAGACCCATTTAAACAGAGAGAAAAGAAAAGAAGAAGAAGAAAGGTAATAATACGTTTCAACATTTTATTGTTATTTAATAGGCATTTCCAAGGGCTGTTGGGGTTGGTTCTGTAACGTCTTGTAAAGGATACGCAACTAACCAATAGGCATTTATTTATACGAAACCTCATTCAAGGGAACAAACCCATGTTATCTACTTTAACTGTATATGTGATGATCTCCCCTTAGTTTTTTTTTTTCAACCGTATGTTGAATACTTTAATTAAATCAGTTATTGTTTATTAATATTCTTGTAAGGGACAGATACTATCTTTCCCCGATTATCTGGCAAAAGAGACTGGATAAAAAAGACAGGAAGAGTCTGTTTCAACATTGATGTGTTAGAATTACAAACTGCATTCATATTCCTTAAGCCCCAATGTTGAACAGTAAAATTGTTATATTCCTGGTCAGTATTGCCCTGTTTGTTGTGATGCCCAGAAAGTATTATCATTTATTGTTACTTGTTATCCGTATCGACATCCTAGCACATGAATCTGACCCATTTGTGCTCCATTCTCTGATGCAGCAGCCATCTGAGTGTCAAGTAAGCTCACCGTACCCACCTCAGTGTCAAGTAAGCTCACCGTACCAATCTCAGTGTCACGTAAGCTCACCATACCCATCTCAGTGTCTTGTAAGCTCACTGTACTCATCTCACTGTCACGTAAGCTCACTGTACCCATCTCACTGTCACGTAAGCTCACTGTACCCATCTCACTGTCACGTAAGCTCACTGTACCCATCTCAGTGTCACGTAAGCTCACCATACCCATCTCAGTGTCTCGTAAGCTCACTGTACCCATCTCAGTGTCACGTAAGCTCACTGTACCCATCTCAGTGTCACGTAAGCTCACTGTACCCATCTCAGTGTCTCTTAAGCTCACTGTACCCATCTCACTGTCACCTTAGCTCACTGTACCCATCTGAGTGTCACGTAAGCTCACCATACCCATCTCAGTGTCACGTAAGCTCACCGTACCCATCTCAGTATCATGTAAGCTCACCATACCCATCTCAGTATCACGTAAGCTCACCGTACCCATCTCAGTATCATGTAAGCTCTCCGTACCTAGCAGCAGTTAATTGGCACATCTTTACTTTTTTCCTGGCAAGTTGTTTCTGCATGCTACTCCCCACATAGATAAGGGCCCCTATTTCAGCATCAGTAGCTATTTGGTTCCATTCTATACAAAATGTACCCAGGGTATCCTGTATAATCATGTATCCACACAAAGTTACTTCTAATGTTGATGGCTAAAAAATGTTTTCTATGTAAAAAAAAAGGAATATTTAAAACAAGTGATGTTGATAAAAATAAAAACATGGGTGCTGTTGTAATATAGTGGCTAGATGACCACATGCAGCCTGAAGGATTTGGGTTCAAATCTTCACCGCCGGATTTAAAAAATCTTTCTTAAATTACTTTGGGTCCCTGGCCGAGTCACTCTATAATGGGTCCCAGGTAATGTCCTGGAAGTAAAAGTGGCCAGTGTGAGGTTGACCATCACCAATACAGGGCTGATTGGTCTGTAAAATCATGAGCTTAGAATCATATGTCCAATATGCCACTGCCGTTAACAAATTTCTTGATTTGATTTCATACTAATAGAAATGTAAAGGAAAATAACAGTAATAAAATTATTTGTAGCAAACCATGTGTGTATCAGTAAATGTGGATAAGTTGAATTCTGTAGAATATAAATAACATTGTCTTAAACTAGAAAGCTTAAAGTAGGGTAAGAAAACAAATGCGCACAATTACAACTGAACATTTTGAATTATCATGAACACTCCAGAGTATATCTTGCACAAATATCTTCTTATGGAGCAGCTGCTAAGCAACATGTGGCCACTTCAAGTTGACCTGTCATGTAAGCTCAATTGGAAACCTAAAAGACCTGGCTCTGACATCACATTTATAGCACACAGTAGAATAAGGCAAGCCCAGAGATCGCTGAAGAAGAAGAAGAAAATATTAAAAATTTTGTTGTTTCATAGTCCTAGTTTGTGTTTTCTTTCGTTATTTGTGGATATCAGTTCAACTGCAGTTACCCCTACTGTGAATGTCAGTTACTTATTTACTACTTTTGCCTTGTTTTGTAGATGAAGATCATGATTTTGATTCGTGTTGCTTGTTTTTATTTTTCTTGTTTGTTGTTTTATGCATTTGTTGAACTGAACTTAGGAAGCTCCCATTCATAAAGCACAAAAATTGTTCTTGATTCCATTCTGTTTAAGGCAGGCTGACCTTTTTTTTCAAGACAGATTATTTTTTTTTTTTTGCTGTTGTTGTTTTTTTTCTATTGTAAGTTTTCAAACAGCTGCCACAATCTGATAAATCATTTCGACAAGTCTTTTAATTCTTTTTTTTTTTAAACCGATTTTTAAAAAATGTGGAAGGTTACAATAAAGGTACATGTGTTCACAATTTGGCAAAATAAAAGTTGTGAGGAAGTGAAATGGTCATGTCCATATCATAAAGCCAGAACCTAGCTTGGGTGAAGTACTTATGCTCAAGGAGCAGAGTATATTGTTTTATTGCTTTTACGTACATGTGTGTGTGTGTGTGTGTGTGTGTGTGTGTGTATACACACACACGCTAGTTTAGGCTACACCCGTTTCTGAGAAGATAGATTTAGGAACAAAATAGTTTTCCTATATTTTCATTGAGAGGCCAACACCTCTAATCATTGAAAAATGGGCCTCATAAAGGCAAGTAACAGTTGCATATTTAAGTTTTCTTACAAAGACATGTTCTGAAGTTACAGAAGACACAGAACTTCAGCACACAGGGCAATTAGAAATGCAGGTGAAACTTCTGTTTATTAATAAATTGCATATAAGCGACATATGGGCCTAATTACCTGATTAAAAGCTGTATCCTGTTTTTCTTCAACGATTGTCAGTTAAAATACTGTGGCCTTTATGTACAGTTTGTGTTGGAAATATGGTGACAGTATTTCTAAAAATATATTTCATGTTGGAAAATGTGATAAGTAGCAGATTGCATTTCGCTATAGACCAGATGCATTTTTGATTTAAAATGTGTAGATTATATTTTTCAGTGTAGAGGCAAAAGGTCAGATCAGTTAAAAAAAAAATTATTATCGTAGTTTGAGTAATAAAAATGCACAAGGCCTTTTCACACATGTAGAGCTGCACTGAGGTAGCGGCTAGATGCTCTGCCTGCTGGCTTTAAGTACGTGGTTTTGAATCCATTTCAAGTGAGATTTCATGCTCCCAGTGCGACCCAGTCTGAAATGGGCACCAGGTGAAATATGGAAGGTAAAAATCACATCATTCATTGAGGTCAACAAATATTTAAGTCCAGCATCTCAAGCCCAAAGTCCTACTGGTGTAGAAGTGTCGTTTAATTTGCACACACGTCTGTGGCATAGGTGTTGCAAGTCTGACTCGTCATTCCAACATTCAGCGATCGAAACCCACTGCTGGCTGCTAGGATTTTCTATCATGGTATGGGGCGTCGCAGGTCAACCCAG